CACGAAGAGGGTCATGAGTTTGGGGTTTGCAGCTTGGCAGGATTATGCGTGAGTCGGGTTCATTTCCGCTTACTCGGATTCCGATGAAGAGATGTGCTCCTTAGTGTGTCATTGCAAACTTGGGCCACTCAACTACAGCATGGGAATGCAATCATGGCGTCGACCACCCCGTATTAGCCTCCAGTCACTGATGAAGGAACAGAGCCCGATAACCTCGTACAGTCAGTTGCTCGGGCTGCTGGTTGGTAATGGAAGGGTCCACCGATGCGCCGTGGCTTCAGTTGGGTTCAAACACGCTTCAGCATTGACTCAACGGATTCCGGTCCCAGGCCTAAGGACGGTTGACGTCCTCTTACTTCCACATGACGGGGCTGCGGAACTCCAGCTAGGTCCGGTAATGCCATTTCATTACTGCACTCAGCTCTTCCACCTCCAGTGGGTTCGAAATCGAGAGCCTGCACCCTAATAACATCCGTAGCTGTTTCAAACCTGCTCCGACTCCCTTATGTGCACACAATGGAAACAAGCAAGTTAGATCCTCTGATGTGTGCGCGTAGGTCCCGACAACATGCCTTCTTGCGCATCCTCACCAGTTTCTCCATGATCGGGCGAACCTCAAGGGGAGGGGAGACTAGCAGGTTTAGGGCTTAGGGTTTAGATGGGCGCAACACTTCCGTGGGTGAGGGGGCTGGGTTCTTGCAAGGCGATCTCGCCGGCGCAAAGCCTGATCCCCTTCTGCCTCTCCAGGGAACCATAGGTGGCTCAAGGGCACTGGGCAATCAGTATGGCATATCCCGAGGACTCTTACGACACCACGGTGCCAACCGTGTACTCCCTTAGAAACAGTACCGCCGCGACCCCGCGCCTTCGGGATGAACGGGTTCCAATGCCCCGTCGCATCGACCATGATGGTCATGGCCTGTCCGACAGAGACGTTGGGGGTACAGGGGAGTCTCCGCATGACCTCACCAGAGCTAGGAATCTAGGAATACTTGATACAGCTCTACTCAACCTCGGGATAGAGGCGAAGTTCAGGTTTATTCCAGACTGGTCGTGCTTGTCACGTCGGTTGTGCTATTCGCATGCTGGTCTCGACTGCCGATTACCGGTACGATGAGGCTTGCATGCGAAATGTCATTGCGGGCCAGGCACTGCGAAAGCCGCAGCAATGCCTCGGCGTGAAAGCTAGCTGCCAGCTTCCGGACTTGTCACAAGTCGAACTGAATGCTTCAATCCAGTGTTGATTAACACAATGGCGTGAATGATCGCGTTGAAGAAACGACACGGAAGGATTGCAAAAGGGAACTGGGACAAGACCCAGAGCAGAATATATCGTATCATCAAAACCGCATGAGAACGAACTCGTTCTTCCCAGCCGCCGGCTGCGTCGAGCAGGGCACCATTCTTGGCTGTTGTTGAAGAACTGGGTTCGATAAACCCTAAACCCTAAACCCTATAGGGGAGATGTTGCTGCAGGAAACAAACAAGCCTTCCCAAGTCAGGTATACCTACTAAAACTTGCTGAAGATCCCTAAACCCAAGATCCTGATACTGGTGTAATGTCGGGGCCTTAATAATTAGAATAAGGTTTTGGGCTAATTTGATAGTATACTTATAGTAAGGAACCCCAAAGTAGTATAGAAAGTTATTGAGGCCCCTACACCCTTTTTTGGCAGGGACTGCAATGCACCCGTTTTTAGCATCCAGGACTCTTGCAAGCAGCCGGGAAACTCCACAAAACAGCGCGTAAACCCCCACCCTAAACCCTAAACCCTAAACCCTAAACCCTATATTAACCGCTATTCTTAAACTGAGCCCAGCATCCCCGCCCTTCGCGCGGAGCGCGGCAGCGGCGCGGTCGATGCGGGTTTGCTCCTTTGTTGCAGGGTGTATCGACACAGACACCAATTGGACAGGGTTAAGGGTTTAGGGTTTAGGATTTAGGGTTTAGGGTTTAAGGTTTAGGGTTTAGGGTTTAGGTTTAGGGTTTGTAGGGGGTAGAGTTTAGGGTTTGGGCTTCAGGGTTTGGTGTGGGGTGTGGGTTTAGGGTTTAGGGTTTATAGGGGTTAGAGTTTAGGGTTTAGGCTTCAGGGTTTGGTGTGGGGTGTGGGTTTAGGGTTTAGGTTTAGGGTTTGTAGGGTTTAGAGTTTTAGGGTTTAGGCTTCAGGGTTTAGGGTTTTTCTTAGGTCCAGAGAATAAAAAGGGTTTGGTGTACAGGGTGTAGGCTTAATGTAGGGGCCATATAATTAGAATAGGACGTGGGGGAATAGTAGCTAAAGATAGCTAAAGTTATAGTGTGGTAAGGAACCCCAGAGAAGATTGGTACCAGTAACTAATGAATCAGGCTTCTATATCGGGCTTTAAAACGGCCTTGAAAGCCTAATTAAACCCTAATCGAGACTGAAGCTCCAATCCCTGGTGGAACGGAGTGGTGGGGTTCTGGGCTCACGACTTTGGAAGTTGGTGGAACGGACTCAGAGAACAGCTCGCAGTGTAGATGCGGATAACATCCTATGCGAGGGAAGGGCCGACTTCAGGATGCGCCCGATGCCTATCTGTTGGTGGGTTCTCGTAGCTCCGTTTAGGGTTTCGACAGCACGAAAGGGCCTCACACCTGAGAGCAGCACATGGCAGCCTCAAGTGGATAAATGCAGAAAAGCCCTCAATGAGCCCGTCACGTGTTACTCGTAATGAATCTTTAGCTGTTCATGGTTTTGGTGCTGCCGTAGGAGTAGTGGAGTGATCTGATGGCGTTCGTGACGATGGTTGTCGTGCTGGCAGGTGAGGCGCATTGACTCCGTCACGCTCGAGCGGGAAGCGCTCGGCACCTCGGTTTGACTGGTTCGAAAGGTCTGAGATACGAGCGATTCGCTAAACCAGCTTCCCTTTTGCATGCCCATGAATACGTCATTCGGTAAAACTCAGGCTGCACACGGACACCGCTAATTTTCCAAAGGCGTCACCCGGATCCTTGCCTTCAGGTGGTCTGCAGTGAAAGATCCCTTTTAGGTACAAGTAGTGGCTAGTTATAAGTGGGGTTGTAAGTAGTGTAACTATAATTATAACCCATATTAGGGGACATATAACCACTTATAACCACCCATGAACCTCCAAGTGAAGGGTATTTGTTTCGCAACTCACACAACCTGATTCGCGCTTCTGACTGGATCAGCACTGCGATCTTCTCTCACTCAGCTCCAAGCCCCAATCTCTGTACATACCTACCTACCTACCTACCTACCTACCTACCTACATACATACATACATACCTACATACATACATACCTTCAGCATACATACAATTTTACGTACATACATACATACATACCTACGTACGTACGTACGTACGTACGTACGTACGTACGTGCGTGCGTGCGTGCGTGCGTGCGTG